TGTGGGGGGCGCGGGGCGGGGGGGGCCCCGGGGGGGGGCGCTCCCCCGCCCCGGCGGTGCCGCCTCTGCGGGCCGGTGCTGGAGTGTAGCTCGACCAAGGGCAGCAGAGCCCCGCCCCGGACACGCCCCGTCGCCCAGACCACTCCTGCTCCCCCCAAAAGCTCCGCCCCGAAGAGACGCGCCCCTCAAAGGCACCGCCCATTCCTGAGGAGGCCTCTCCTAGGCTTGCCCTGGCAGCTGTACGCGCCATGGCCGGCCTCCTCGGGACCACTCTGGCCAACTCTTGGAGCCAGTTCTTCTTGCATTGCATCCCGATCCTGCTCTTATCACGTATGTCCTGAACTCGGCCCGACGTTGCTCCTTTCACATACATCCTGAATTCGGTAGATGTAGAGGGTCCGATAGTCTGGATAGGGCAGCCAGGGTCAAGGGCATCTGGGGGCAAGCACTTAAGTGGCAGGAGGCGATATGGTTTCAGAAATGGGGCCAGCTCTCCCTTCCCTTCAGCCAAGAGAACCCCAGGAGAGCACCAACAAAGGTGGCAGATGAACACACCAACACATCAGCAAACTGACAGGATGCACTTTAAATCCTGACCGTCTGTCTCTCCCTAGCCCAGAATTCCGCGCTTCTCTTTCAGTGAATAAGAACCACTTTGCATGATGGCAAGTTTCTCTTCTCTCCCCAAATGTGACCCTCTCCTTTCCACCTATGGGCTCCATGAACAGGGAGCATTTCTCTCTTGCCACATCCAGCAGAATGCCTAAAAACCTTTAGCTTGCCCTCCTATCCACATTCACACACACACACACACCCAATACAGAGACCATAGTCTGCCTGCCCTCCGATTTAAACACCAGCTGGGCCCTGACCAGCTCTGTTCCCTCTGCCCCTGACTTCTGCCATAGCCTGCTCAGAATGCTGCGGCTTGCCCTGGTGGTCTACCCATCCTAATCTGAAAAGGGCTGGCCACAGAAACCAGAATAGGGCCAATGATTGGAAGACAATTCCCAAGTCTGGATCCACCTATTTGTGTCTTTTTTTAACTGGGGCCCTAGCCACACTGGAGATCTGTACTAAGAATGTAAAAGATGAGGAGCCCTGTACCACAGTGTTAGCAGAGCCTCTTGAGGGTTCATATACTACAGATGGACCACAATTAAAAGCCCACAACACAGAGGGCTCATCGGTTAAGAGTACTTCTGCAGGTTCTGTAAAACAAAGGACCCGGTCAACAAGACAAAATGGCTCCCTACAGAATGGAAAAAGATCTTCACCAACCCCACATCTGACAGAGGGTTGATCTCCAAAATATACAAAGAATTCAAGAAACTTTCAAATAATCCAGTTAAAAATGGGGGTACAGGGCTGGAGAGATGGCTCAGCTGTTAAAGGCGAGGCTCACAACCAAAAATGGGGGTATAGATCTAAACAGAGAATTCTCAACAGACCAGTCTCAAATGGAGGAAAGACACTTAAGGAAATGCTCAGCATCCTGAGTCATCAGGGAAATGCAAATCAAAACAACTCTGAGATATCATCTTACACCAATCAAAATAGCTAAGATCAAAAACACCAATGGGGCTGGAGAGATGGCTCAGAGGTTAAGAGTACTGACTGTTCTTCCAGAGGTCCTGAGTTCAATTCCCAGCAACCACATGGTGGCTCACAACCATCTATAATGAGATCTGGAGCCCTCTTCTGTCGTGCATGCATACATGGAGACAGAATGTTGTATACATAATAGATAAATCTTTAAAAAAAAAAACACCAATGACAGCTTATGATGGAGAGGATGTGGAGTAAGGGGAACACTGCTCCATTGCTGGTGGGAGTGCAAATTTGTACAGCCACTGTGGAAATCAGTATGGCGATTTCTCAGAAAATTAGGAATCAACCTGCCTCAAGACCCTGCAATATCACTTTTGGGCATATACCCAAAGGAGGCACACTCACACCACAAGGACATTTGCTCAATTATGTTCACAGAAACATTATTCATAATAGCCAGAACTTGGAAACAGCCTAGACATCCCTCAACAGAAGAATGGGTAAATAAAATATGGTATATTTACACAATGGAGTACTACTCAGAAGTAAGAAACAATGACATCCTAAAATTCACAGTCAAATGGACAGAACTAGAAAAAACCATACTGAATGAGGTAACCCAGACCCAGAAAGACAAATATAGTAGTACTCACTCATAAACAGATACCATACATAAAGCAAAAGATATTCAGCCTGCAATTCACAGCCCCAGAGAAGCTAGAACCCTCTTCCAGAAACAGATGGAAGAAGATGCAGAAATCCACAACTAACCATCGGGCCAAGCTCTTAGAGTACAATCAAAGTGAGGGAGGAGTGATAATCTGAACAAAGGAGTCAAGACCATGATGGAGAAACCCACAGAATCAGCTGACCCAAGCTAGTGAGAGATCACTGACTCATGGGGAACCTGCATAAAACTGAACTGGACTCCCTTAATAGAGGTGACAATAGTGCTGCTGGGGCAATATATGAGGCCACCAGCAGTGGGTCCAGGATCTAACGCTAATGTACAAACTGACTGAGTGGAGCCCATTCTGTATGGAGAGATACCTTGCTTAGTCTAGACACAGGGCTGTGGGGATGGAGAGGTGCCTTGGCCCTGCTTCAAAGAGATGATGGGACAGACTTAGTAGACTTCCTAGGGGAGGCCTTACCCTCTCTGAGGAGCAGATGGGGGGAGTAAGTGAGGGGAGCTGGAGGAGCGGAGGGAGGGGGAACTGGAATTGAAATGTAAAAAATAAACTAATAAATAAAAAAATCTAGCCGGGCGTTGGTGGTGCACACCTTTAATCCCAGCACTCGGGAGGCAGAGGCAGGCGGATCTTTGTGAGTTCGAGGCCAGCCTGGTCTCCAGAGCGAGTGCCAGGATAGGCTACAAAGCTACAAATAGAAACCCTGTCTCAAAAAAACAAAATAAATAAATAAATAAATAAATAAATAAAGCAATCTAAAAAAGAAAAAGAGTGCTTCTGCTCTTGAAGAGGACCCAAGCTCAGTTCCCAGCACCAACAAGACTGTTCAAACTACCTGTTACTCCAGTTCCAGGGGATCTGATGTCCTCTTCTGGATTCCATGGCTACCAAGCACACACAGTGGCACATGTACATATATACAGTCTCTGGATATTACACATATGTAAAATAGATCTTAAAAACAACCCACAACACCAAGGGTAGTGGCATTTACGCACCGCTGCTTGCAGAAACCCATGTCCCATCAGGGACAGGACGTCCAAATGCCCACACAGGCTTCGCCTAGGTCCATCCCACATGACCTCTGCCACCAATGTTGTTTGTTCATTCATTTGTTTGTCTTTTTGAGGCCCTGGCTATTGTGGAACTCACTTTATAGACCAAGCTGGCCTTGAACTCACAAAGATCTGCTTACCTCCACCTCCTGAGTGCTGGGATCAAAGGCGTGCGCCACCACATCTGGTCTCCTCACTGGTTTCCATAACCTGCCCTGGACTCTGCTGCACTTGACAGGCCCATCCCACAGGCTCTTTGCTCCAACTGTGTCTTATGCATAGAAGACACTTTTTATCACTCTTCAGGTGTTGACTCAGGTGTTATCTCTCAGACAAGACTTTCCTGGGCTCCATCTTTGCACACCTCCTTTCCTCCCTAGCCTCAGGACCTTCTCCATGACATTTGGCACTTGACCTGCATGCGTTGGTCTGCTTCATCTGTCCATCCTGGAATGTGGTTAGGGTAGAGTGCCTGTTCTTGGTACCAAGGACAGAGTTCAGCACACACCTCACCAATGGTGTGATGGCTGTGCCGGGAGGGGATGTTTGAAGGCTTAGGTGGGTGGTTCAAATAGAGTTTTGAAGTGTCAACATTTGAGCTGAACCTCAGTGTATTTTCTTTCCCTTTTCTGCCCTACAACAAGTCACAGGTCAAACAGATGTGTGCATTCTAACCTAGTGTCTGGGAAATGGCCTTATTTGAGACAACTCTTACTAGATTTAGGGAGGGCTCTGGAATCCAATATTTGGCATGGGGCCAAAGCCTGAGGTATGTTCTTGGTCACCTTCTTCAGCCACTGCTCCAGATCCAGCTGCCCTCCAGTCCCCTGCCTCCACTCCTATCCATCTTCACATTCTGCAATTTATCCATTGTCCTTGGGGCTTACTCCTTCTCAGAAATCACCTACCTCCTCTGCATCTTGCCCTGTGCTTTAACACCAAGTGCTTTTCTTCTGCCTCTCATGGATCTACCATGACTCTTTGGGTGTACCTTCAAGGTCTCTCTGAGCCTCTTCCTTCTTGCTGTAGGGGAGGCAGTTGATCTAATTTCTGAATTCCTGACTGTCCCCCCACCCTGTCAGGTGTCTCTTAGAGCTTAAGCAAGTATCCCCAGAGGCCAAACACTCCAGATAGACAGAGAGGAGGCCAGGAGGCCCCTTGCCTTGCACTGCCACCCGGCTTTTGGAAACTTGCCTGTAAGACCAGGGCAAATCAGTGTGGCAAGAGGTTGGCCCCTTTGGGATGAGTGGCTAGTCTGTGGCTTCCGTTCTTACTCCAAAGAAACCGACATTGATCTTCTGAGCTCCTCTGGGAGCCCCATGTGACAGGAAACTTGCTGATACCAGTCGGTGAGGACAAACCACCCTCCCTCAATTTCTCAAGTTTGGAAGTGGTTCCTAGTGATTGTGTATGTTTGAAAGTGACCAGTTAAGAAAAAAATGATCAGCTGTTTCAAGAGATTTCAGAAGATAGACATCTGTTGAATCATTAATTACTACTAAGAAATAGAGCCAGCAGTGCCAAATGGAAGCAAAGGGTCCTACAGCCAAATGCTTCCTGGGTACAAGGCCCTCAGTGATGAAACCCCACCACCATACCCATCAAATTGCCTTCAAGGACACCTTGGATGTTTACAATTTTATTCAACACAATGTGCCAAAAAGATCAAATTGCACTTGATCAATGGAACAGTAGAAGCCAAGCAAATATGAAGCCGTGTAGTGGACACATGTCTCAGTGGATAAGCTTTGAGTTTTCATAGACTTGTCAGTAGTCACAGCATTCAGAGTGGGAAACACTCTCCACCATTCAGCAGCATTTAGAGGAGGAGGAGGCGAGACTGATGCAAAGATACAAGTTATTTCTCTTCTTGAGATGACTTACTAGATACCATGGGAAGTTTTATTTATTTTTCATTATTGACTAAAAATGTAACTTGTATAATAAGGGGCACAATGTAACATTTTCCTTCTCATTAAGAGAGTCCTTAAAGTCCAGCAGTGGTGGCACACACCTAGAGGCAAAGGCAGGCAAATATCTGTGAGTTCGAGGTCAGTCTAGTCTACAAGAGCTAGTTCCAGGACAGCTAGGGCTACACAGAGAAACCC